ATCTGCCTGCCTCAGTATCCCTGAGTGCTGGAATTAAAGGTGTGCACTAACATGACCAAGCCAGTGGTGCGGGACTTTAATCCCAGCATTCAGGGAGACAGAGTGAGGTCAAGGCCAGCCTGGTCTACAGAGCTAGATCCAGGCCAGCCAAGGCTAGGAAACCAAAGCAACTAACCAAGCAAACAAACAAATCTCTGGAACAAACAAACAGAACTTCTCTCCGGGCTACTGCTGCAGTTACAGGGAGGATATGAGAAAGGAGTGAGCTTGTCCTAGTGCACATGGCCTGGGAGCCACGCCTGCCACCTCTGGTGCTGCTGGGGCGCCCCCAGGGGCCGCAGCTAGACATGGCAGGCTAGGTAGTGTCACCAGGTAGGTCTGAAGGCTGCAGCTGCTGGGGCTCCTGCTGGGCACAACAAAGCCACCACTGTGTCTTCCTGTTTCCGCCAACAGCCCCAGCTGCAGACACTCACATCCTGCCCACCAGCACAATGGAAAGCCAGGCTCTGAGGAGCAGCCACTCCTTGGCTGCATGTCTTCGATGCAGGATGGGCACACAGACAGGACTCTTGAAACTACCCCATGGCTGGTGGGCCTAAATGTCACATGATATGGGTACGCGACATGGCCTGCTTGGCATGGAGGCTGCTCCTGGCTTCCCGGCTCAGCACGTGGACATCAAGGACTCACTGTCCCAGTTACAGGGTCAGGATTGGGTCAGGCAGGAAAAGGACCTGCCTTTGTCAGGTGTTGTGGCAGTGCACGCTTCTATCTTAGCATTGCAGGGGCAGAAGCATGCAGATATCTGTGAGCTCAAGGCCAGCCTGCTCTCCCCTGGGAGTTCCAAGGCGGCTGCTGCTACAGTGAGACTCCATCTCAAAAGATAAGGAAACTTTCCAGGGGTCGTGTTATCGAGGGAGGGGTCGGGTTTAGGGCCCAGCGGTCAGACGGCCAGACTCACCTGTGCAGGACAGATGGCCTCACAGAGCTTGCAGGCGATGCAACGCTCCTCCCCGGATGGGTAACGGCGCAACGCATGCTCCCCTCGGAAGCGCGGGCTCAGGGGGCCCTTCTCGAATGGGTAGTTGATGGTGGCAGGCTCCCGAAAGAGGTAGCTCAGGGTCATGCCCAGTCCTGTGCGTAGCAGGGAGCTGGCGAGGTACTGCACCCCCTCCCAGCACACCCACGCCCGACTGCTGCCTCTCCCCACTGGCACCAACCTCGAAAGAGTTCCGTCCAAAACAGAGTCTGGGCTGCACGGTCAGTCACGGACCTCATGTCCATCTCGAGCTTTGGTACATTCACATACTCTGCAGGAAATCACGTTAGGAGGTTAAGGGACCTGGCTCCGGAAAGTGAGGCCCAACTCTCAGCCCCAGGGTTAGCAGGTGGGCTCTCCGTGAGGCGCAGGAAGTCGGCCTGCAGCCCCTTTGGGAAGCCAAAGCGGCCCCAAGAAAAGCTTTTCAAGTTCAGGGAGTGAGGAGCCTGCGTCCCCCTAGCGCATCCTGATAAAGGGGCACGGACCTGGCATCTCCTCCCCATCACACGCCTCCCTCCTTCAATGCTACCACGATGCCTGTGAGTCACACTTGCTCTTGATCATCACCATCATTTTCAGAGTGCGAGCGAAAGCTCACAGAGGTCCCCTGGCAAAGCAATTTCTCCAGCTGCACGTGTGGCCATGGATGGGAATGCTCAAGTCAAAAGACGCCAGCTTGTACTCACTGTAGGTTGCGGCCACTGCACTGCTGTGGAGGCTTCGGCCATTAAGATGCCCTGCAAGGAGAGAGGTGACACTCCGCTGCTGTGACTTCAAGGCAGGAAGCTTGGCTCTCCCACCCCCAGGAAAGGCCCCCAGTCCTACCTGTGCCCATGGCCTGGGCCAAGGCCCGCGGCAGCATGGATGAGGTCAGACGGTACATCTGGAGCATGGAGAAGAACGAAAGGAAAGGGTCAAAAACTGCCCTCCTCAGGACCCCTATCTCACGCCCTACTCACACACCATCCCATTGAGACCAGTAACCCCAACCCTCAAGCTAACCTCACTCTGCTGACTCACAGCATCTGGACACCCCGAGTTCCTTCTATTTCAGCTCCTAAGCAGCCTATCTAATCCATTTCCCCTCTCTACTCAGCGTCAGTTCACACCAAAACACCCTGACCACCACCACAGTGCACCGACTTAACTCAGAGCCAGGCTTCACGCCAGATGTCACAAGCCCTGGGATCCTGTCATGTGAAGTGACTGCCCCAAAGTTAGCAGTGGCGTTGGTACCAGGACAGGAACCCAGGGTCACCTGCCGTAAATCCTTAGAGGTTCACATAGTCCTCAGGGTCAAATTCCTCTCCCCAACCCGGGGATCTTCTGGAACTACCACCAGCCTGCCGAGTGACCTTGGGCAATTTATGTCCCCTTGCTTCACTCTTCTAACTTCCGACCTAAGAAGGGGGTCCCGAAAATCAGGGATGTGTGCAACCTAGAGAGCCTGGGATATCACCAACGCTCCAAAGAGCCCCCTGTAACCTTTGACCTCTAGCGGATCTGCTAATTCTTGACCTGTCACCCCGGGCAATCCTGGGGCCCAACCTACCACTTTCTTTCAGACCTTCCCCTTGACCTCTGAGCCTATAAACGCAGACGGGAGCCGGCGAGGCAGCGCATGCGCCTGAGGGTGCGAGCTTCGCGGCCCGCCGCTCGCAGAAGGACAAACGCAGAGGCCGCGGGTCCCGAGCCGACCCGGTGGACCCCAGGACTTCACGAGGTCAGCCGTGACACCCCGTTCGACCCAGTCGTCGCGCCACCCAAGCCCTGTCTTCGCCGCCTTGCCCTGGACACCCACCTTGAAGCGCACCGGCTCCTTCCCAGGCGCTGGTGCGGGCCAGCCGGAAGGCGGAGCCTAACTCCGGGATGCTGCCATTGGGCAGGCTGCTCACGCCTCGTTCCGCGGTGCCCTTTCCTTCTGTGGTCTGATTGGCCTGTGGGTGTTTCAGGGGGCGGGGCAAAACAGTATTTTCCTCTGATTGGCTGATGGGGGCGGGGGCGTGAAGTTTTGCAGGGAGCTGCCATCTTGTGTCGAGAGGTTAATCCGGAAGACTTCCGGGCTGCTGAAGGCGGGACTTCCTGGGCGCGGTTTGGGACGCCGGTACAGCCTCCGGGGCGGGGCGGGCCTGTGAGTTTTATTTTGTTTTGTGAGTACTGTAAAGATAGCAACAGCTATGTGCTTTGAGCGCACGGCTTCATCTGGGCCTCGTAACAGCGGCGGGTAGCAGGACTTTCGTCAGATCAGCTCCTGGGACTAGGAGCCATGCGGCCGTCTGCATGCCTTGTCTGGAGTTGCTTCCTTAGAAGATGGTGTCCTAGCTGACCGTGAGGAGTCTTGACAGGCCAGGAAGGACATGTTGACTTAGTCAAATACCGGGTCTGGCACGGAGAATGGATGTGAAAATTTTAGGTTTTAGCAGTTGAACGGCTGAAAGCACCATCTCGTGGGGCATGGGGCTCGGACGGGTGGAATGTTTCACTCCTGAGTAGACTGGGGAGAAGTCCCCAGGGGACATGATGGGGATTCCATGTGCAGGGCTGAGAGGAATAGGTAGGGCAGGGATCTTTGACTTACCGTGGAGGCAGAACCTCCACTCCAAAAAAGACAGGACGCTTACAGTTTGGGGTCAGCCCTCAAGAGTTTAATACTCCCTGCGACCACAGGCTGTTAATTCATCTTCACTGTGCAGATAGAAAACCGAAGCTCACAGGACTCAGACATGGGGGTCAGGGAATGTGGCCTGTGCCAGCCATCACTGCTTCCCCGCGGCACTAGCTGCAAGAAGGTGGGTAGTTCGGACATGACATTTTCTCCCAGATTCCAAGGCTAGCACTGGAAGGGACGGACACCCCTTCCCACATTCCTGCCCTCAGCCTATCCCATTCAGAACAGTCAAAGGTCCAAAAAGGGAAGCCCCAGAAGGAAGAGGGCTGCACGGACAAGGGCTGAGCAAACTGCTCTGTGGCCTGGGCCCTGACAGGCCTCTTCCCCAGCAGCTGTGTTCCAGGGAGGGCTGTGGCTGGCAGCCCCGCTCAGAGCAGTGTACAGCTGCAGCTTCTCTCCTCCATGGCCACCAGTAGCACCCTGAGGTTGCGCCTGGAGTAGGGTGGGTAGCGGAAGTCATTGATTTTCTCCATCCCTGGGCTGCGCAGCAGACAGGCACGCTGGTTGGAGAAGGTGTCAAAGGAGAACTTGCCATGGTATCTACCCATGCCGCTGGAGCCTGTGGACAGAGTGAAAATTGGGGCCTAGGTCTTTGAAGAGCTCCGACAGGTGGGCTTTCTGACCCTCTGTCTCCCCGGCTGTTGAGTGGCCTTAATCACAAGACATCATGGCTGGAAGGGTGAGCACCGAGCTCACCCCGCACCAGCTGACCAGATGCCATGCAGGACAGGCAAACTGAGGCCAAGGGCGGGATTTCTGGAGCCAGGCTGCCAAAAGTTGAATCCCAGCCCTGTCCTGCCTGAATCAGTATGTCATTTTGGGCAAGTGACTGTGTCAGGCTTCCCCTCTGTGAGAGTGACACCCTCCTCCTACGTTTATGGCAGACATCTTCAAACCTGTGTAGGTCCTGCTATCTAGGAAGGGACAAGGACTCAACCCAGAAGGTCCAGGGTACATGGCCTGGATGGTTGGTAGGGAAGAAGCTGGCTCGTTGAAATGAGTGAAGCCAGAGGAACACGATATCAGCCAGATAGAGTGTGGGCAGGGAAAGGGGGCCAGGTCTCAGGCTTGGAGACAACTCAGCCTTGGAGATGGTGACATATCAGGGCCCGGCTCAGCTGTCTCAATGGACTAAGAGGGAGGGACAGGACTTCTGCACAAGACCAGGACTGGCCAGATGATTCTGTCACCCTGATATGGAGTATGAGCAGGTGAAAGGACCAGGGCACTTTCAGTGAGGAAGTAGGCCTGAAGGAGAGGGTCACATGCATGTGGGTCTTGCTAGGACACAGCGGTGAGGTTTGCAGGTGCATGGGGGCGGGACATCTCCACATCCCAGGCCTCCTGGAAGCAGAGATAGCCAGAGCTGGGCTTGCAGGGACCTGGGGAGGCTGACAGAGCATCATTTGGCACTAGCACAGAATTGAAGGCACCAGGACTGTGTGGGCATGGGTAGCCACAGGCTGCAGGAAAGTTGAGCTCAGTGGCCGGGGGAACCTCGTGTGTTTTTACAAAAGCCACTAAAATTCTTTCTCTCTGTGGCTTCTCACCCACATGTTCAAGGGCAAGTACACCTGGAAGTTCCCACCACAGAGTGCGGGGACAGGGGAGGGAGGCTGGCTAGAGGGGACACAGCGGGTGGAGAGGGCTTCCTTGCCTGCCCGCTGCACCCAGAGTGGGCTGCATGTTTCTGCATTAGTGTAGCAGATGGGATGTGTCCTGAATCAGCCCAGGAGGGCAGAGATCTGCTGCCACCTACCCACTCCTCCGAAAGGAAGGCTGGACAGGGTCATGTGCATGAAGCCATCATTCCCGCAGAAGCCACCGCTGCTGGTCCGGGCCAGCACCTGTTTGACCACCTGGGAGAGAAAGGGAAACTTCTAAAACACATACCCGGATGTGCCTTGTGTCAGTGAGTGCCTGAGGTCCAAGGTGGGCCTAATGGGACAGACTCACAGACCTATTCTCTCTGTCTGCCTGTATATGTCCCTGGCAGGGTGTTGGGACACAAGCCCAAAGAGAAATCATGAGATCTGGCATCACCTAGGGACAGGCATAGTGAGGTGCCAAGTGGTCAGGGTTTCCCAGGGGAGGAGGAGGTGGTGGCTGCTGAGTCTTGTTATTATAACTGAGACAATTATTCAAGATTGAAGGGAGGGGCTTTGTGGGGCCAGTTTGGGCAGCTAAGGTCAGGTTGGAGCTTAGCAGCTTGAGCTCAGCTTTGCCTGACTTCCTGAAGGGTTTTCCTCCTGTGTGCAGGTCCCTGAAAAGCTGAAGAGGAAGGAGATGGGTTTCCCTACTTAATTTAATGCTGTTCAGTTTGGCCCTCTGGTGACAGCTCTGAGTTGGGCCTTGTGTGGTGAAGTGGATCCCAGCAGGGTGCACACTGCCTCAGCCCAAGGCTGCCGGCGGCAACAACAGTGACACTAAAGGATGAGCAGGCTGGAAGATAGCCTGGCCTCTGACCAGTGCTGGGCTCAGGACACTTTGAGGGACAGTTGGCCCTCAGTGCCCAAAGGGCTGTGTTGTTTTCCCACAGAGGATGGCTGAGTTCATAGGTGAGTCTGAGACAGTCCCTCACTCACGAGATGAAGTGGTCACAGAGCCGGGACAGACAGGTGGCTTGTGTATTCACACAGAGTGTTGGGTATGGTGATGTGTACCTATAATCACACCTGTGCAGGGAGGAGGGCCAGAAGTCCAAGGTAATCCTCTGCTACATAGTGAGTGGGAGGCTAGCCTGAGCTTTTTGAGACCCTGTCTCAAAAAAAAGGGCTGATGAAGCCGGGTGTGGTGGCAGAACTTGGGAGACAGAGGCAGGTGGGTGATCCCTGTGGGTTCCAGGACAGCCAGGGCTACACAGAGAGACCCTGTCTTAAGAAGGAAAGAAAAAAAAAAGGCTGAGGACATAGGTGGCTCAGTGAGTGAAGGCGCATGCTGCCTGACAACCTGACTTGATCCCTGAAACACATGTGGTAGGAGAGCGCTAACTCCCTCAGATTGTCCTCTGACACCACACAAATGTCATGACATGCGCACCTGAAGGCACGTGCGTGCGCACGCGCACGCACACACACACACACACACACACACACACACACACACGAAGTAAATGTACAAAAAGAATACTGTTTTAAAAGCAGGAGCCAGTGACATGTTTCCGTGGGTGAAGGCCACCAAGCCTGATGACCTGAGATTGATGCCCAGGAGCCACAGGGTAGAAGGAGAGAACCAGCTCCTGCAAGCTGTCTTCTGACCTCTATGTGAACACACAAGTATACACAAGTGTAATGAAAAGTGTTAAGCCAAAACCATGCGCAGTGCGCATGGACACACCATTCAGGTTCCAGCTCATGTGAAGATCTTGTGGGAGAAACGTTGAATCCAGGTCATCAGGCTTTGTGACATCTCTACTGGCTGGGCTATCTCACCTAGCCCCTCATTTGGTAGGTTTGTTGTTGTCTTTAATCTTTGAAGAATTATTTATTTTATGTCTATATTTTGCCTGCATGTATGGTTATGTGTACCACATATGTGCTTAGCGCCGGAGGCAGTCAGAAGAGTTCATCAGATCCCCTGGAATTGGAGTTCTGGATGGTTGTGAACCACCAGGTGGGTGCTGGGAACCAAACCTGGGTCCTCTGCAAGAGCAACTAGTGCTTTTTTTTTTTTTTAATCACCGCACCATCTCTCCAGCCCAGTTTGGTAGGTTTTGTCTAGTGTGCAAAAAGCCTTAGGATTCCCCAGGATCAAATGTCACCGGGTGTCATGGCACACATAATCCTGACACTTGGGAGGTGGAGTCAGGAGGATCAGATTCAAGTCCCCCTGGACTGTATAGTTTAAGGCTAGCCTAGGCTATATGAGACCTCATCTCAAAATATTGTTTGGCCAGGCACGATGGCACCCAAGAAAGTTTGACTTTTGGGAGGGAGGGCAGGGACAAAGCCAGGAGGCCACCATCCCTAAAGTCCTGTAATTACCCAGAGGGGCTGTGCTCTCTGTTGCCACCCCTCCCACAGGCCAATTCCAGCACTCATCCCACCTGGCTTCTCTTAGAGAAGGCATACAGCGCAAGAGGCTTCTCCCGCCGGTTGATGAACTCAACGGCCTCATCCAGGCTCCTCACAGTCACCAGGGGCAGGATGGGCCCGAAGATCTCCTCCTGCATCACAGCCTCGGTCTCCCGCACATCCGCTAACACTGTGGGGGCTGCAACACAGAGTTAACTCACCCTCACCCATAGGCAAGACATGGCTTCCAATAAGGACAGAGCCTGCACCCCACACCAGGAAGCCCAGGGTCTGACTTCCTAGGACCACAGGCTTGGGGTCTGGAGTCTCAGAACAACAGAAGCTAGAACAGAAACTCTGAACCTCTAGAGTCGGGTCACAGCTCAGTGGGTCCTGAGTTTGAGGAGCCACAGTGATGGGGTGCTGTGGCACTCTGCTCAGGCCAGGCTCCGGAGGTAGGGAAAGGATTCGGACATAGGCTGAGACCGGCTGTCCAGCGTGGGCTCCTCCATCTTGGAAGGGTCTCAGCCCAGGTTAGAGGGAGACTCACCAATGTACAGATCACTCTCATCACTCTGGCCACCGATGGCCATGCGGCCACAGCCCAGCAGTCCCTGGAGACGCTTGAAGTGTTTCTGGTTGATGATTCTGCCCAGGTTGGGGGAGGTCTGTGGGTTGTCTCCATAGAAACGCGTGATGGCATTCTGCAGGGCAGGCACCAGCCTCTCCTGCATCTCCTGGCTGCACAGGATGTAGTCGGGGGCCACACAGGTCTGGCCAGCGTTGAAGTAGCGGAACCAGGCCACCCGGTTGGCCACGGTCTGGGGGTCGCAGCTGTCATCCACATAGCAGGGGTTCTTACCCCCCAGCTCCAGGGTGATGGGCGTCAGGTGTTTGGCAGCAGCGGCCATGACAATCTTGCCTACATAAGCGTTCCCTGGGTACATGGAAAGGGCTTATGTGTCTCTCGTTAGTCAACTGGCTAGGTGGATGGCCTCACCTGGCTGGGTCCCTGAACAGGGGCTCCAAAGGAGGAGTTTATTCTGCACTCCCAGCAGGGATTCTGGCTCCCTATCTGCCCCTGCCCCTGTCTGCTTCTGCCTCAGGCTCACCTTGCAGCTTACTCTTCCACCCAGCATAGGACTAACCACCTCTCTATCTTCAGAAACCTTCCATTTCCATGTCTTCTGCCTTGTCCTCTAAGGCCAGAGCCAGCTCAGCCTGACTGATGCTCAGGCCCCGCCCCTGATGTCCTGGTCTACAGGCTCCTCTCAGAATCATCCTCCCTCATCTGCTCATCCTCCAGGCTGCCTCAGCCCTTTCCTGACACACACAGTTCTTCCCATTCCTTGTTTACTCTGCTCTCCTCAAACCCTGCAGAGGTACGTTAGGGACGGGGACACTTGCCTGTGATCAAAGTGCTCAGGAAACTGAGACAGAAGATTCAAGTTCAGTGCCAGTCTGGGCTACCGTGTGAGATCCTATCTCAAACAGTGGCCGAGGCAGCAATGGTGAAGGCTCTAATCCCCGTGCTCAGAGGCAAGGGTATCGGGAGTACAAGGTCACTGTCAGCTGTGGAGTGAGTTTGAGGCCAACCTGGGTTATGTGACACCTTGTTTGGAAAAAAACCCAAACAAGAGCAACAGGCCCTCTCAGGGCTGAGAGTTCAGCTCAGTGAAGCACATTTGCCCAGCATGTATGAAGTTTTGAGTTTGATTCCCAGTACCTCAAACACAGATAAAAGCCTCCTGGACATACAGCCTCTGACAAACAGTCTGTGTACTCAGCAGAGATCCCCTGACTGAGGGAGGAGAGGTTGAGTGAACACTACGGACTGTATGCTGGATAAACGACTTTCTTTTCTGGCCTATCTGTGACTCAGATTTGCAGATGAGCAAGGCTGAATTAGTCATGGGACCTTGTAGCAAGATCATGGTCAGGTTTTCTTGTAACCTGGCTTGGTAACTGGCCTTGGGCTTTGCCTTGCCTCTGCACCTGGCCCTGGGGACCCGAACCTAAGGGCCACCAGGGCTGAGAGTGTACAGGTGACACCTCCTGCCTTGCCTACTTATGAGACTGTACCAAGGACTTTTCCCCACAGGAAAGACCAGTCTGCCTTTGCTCCAGCGGCATTCCCTGTCCCCAGCTGGGCTTTTCCTAGGCTTGAAGGAGAGCCTAGAGTAAGTTCCGAAGCCCACCTCTCCCCTGCCCTAACCACATGCAGGTCACAGGCCACCCAGCTTGGGTTTAGGCCCTGGAAACACTACCCACTGCCTCCTTCACCTTTTACGCCTTCCAGAAACGTCATCCTGGTCCCTGGAAACAGACACGGGGACCAGGGACATGATAGTACAATGGCAGGTGGCCTCTGGGATCTAGTCTCACCAAGAGCTTGGGGGCAAATCCTACCCTGGCCAGCTGGGCCACCCTGGGTTAGGCACCGATGCACTTCAGCAGCCTGAGCCAGCCTGTCAAGGCCGAAGGGAAGTCATGGGGTCTGCCGTCAGGGCCTGGTGCACTAGAAGGTCGGCATGCGCCGACTTCTGACTTGTGAGGGGAGCCGGTGGACGTGGACATGGGATCCTGCCCCTCTCTCTGAGGCGCTCAAGGCTGGAACCATACCCCCGAACCTTACCTGTGAAGAAGATGTAGTCGAACCTGTGTTCCAGCAGCTTGGCGCTTTCCTGGGGCCCACCCAGCACCACAGCAAAGCAGCTCTGCGGGGGCAGACAAAGGTCCTCAGACCCAGCTTCTGAGTGCAGACGTGGCCCACCCTGCCTGGGGCCCGCCTACTTGCTTCACCCAGGCATGGACAGGCCCCCTGAGAGCTTCCCCGGACAGGGGAATGTCTGAACACTGCAGACCTAGAGCAAGAGTGAAGCTGGGGGTGGGGGGATACAAAGTGAGTAAAGTGTAATTAATAAAAAAAAATAAAATAAAATAAAAAAAGAGTGAAGCTAGGGCCAACTATGGGACCTCAGGGAACAGACTGCCCTGGCTAAATCCTAGGAGGGAAACTGAGGGTGAGAGAACGTGATGTAGCCAGGGCCGTGCAACCCAGAAGAGGTATGCAAGTATTGAAACTCATTCCTTTAATTCAACACTCAGGGAGCTGAGGCAGGGGGCTCACGTGAGTTTTGAAGCCCTGTCCAAAACAATATGGAGTGAGAATTCAGTAGGAAAAGTGCTTGCTGTGCAAGCATGAGGACCTGAGTTCGCGCCTGAGGACCCACTGAAAAGCCAGGTGTGATGGCAGGCACTTGTGACTCCAACCCTGGGAGCGGAGAAAGATCCCAGAGGCTCACTGGTCAGCTAGGCTAGCCAAGTTCTCCAACCTCAGGAACCAGTGAGAGACCTTGTCTCAAAAAACAGAGTGAACATCTCCAGAGGAACACCAGCAGAACACCTGTGGCCTCCACTTGCACATAAGCGTGTGCGCGCACACACACAAACAAGCTCACACGCTCTCCTACACACCCCTGCACACTAAAGGCTCCTCTAGGGTTGGGTCATGTCCCCTTGCCCAGCCCTACGCCTTGACTTACCTGGTCCAGATAGCGGGGCAGGACCTCAGCCAGGATCTTCTCAATGGCCTTGCTGGTCTCTGAGGGCTTGAGTACCACACAATTGCCTGCAGCCAGCACAGAGGGAATGCTAGGAGAAGGTAAGCCACGCAAGGGATGTGCCGGCAACACCCGCCTTCACGTGAGGACTCAGACAGAAATCATACATAGGCCCTGGCCAGGGGCCACCTGGGAGCAGGGCCAGGGCCCCTGTCTTTCCTTTCTGGGTTCCTAGGTAGCCCTGAGCTCTCCGGTGAGCAGGGCTGTGGGAAGGTGGAGGTCTCCTCCTTACCTGCAGCAATGGCCCCCACCAGTGGCACGAGTGTCAGGTTCAAGGGGTAATTCCAGGGCACAATGATGAGCACCAGGCCGAAGGGCTCCTTCCGGATGAAGGCTGAGTCCAGCTGTGTGGCCTGGGCCAGGGTGGGCAGTGAGACTCTGGAGCCAGGCTGTGGGAATAAGCGGTTCCCAAAGTCCACCTGCCCCCCTGCCCCCAACCTACCAGGTTCTTGGACACTTTCTCGTCCTTCATCCAAGAACGCAGGTTCCTGAGAGCTAGGTCCACCTCAGCCTGGCTGATGGCAATCTCAGACACCTCCGACTCAAAGACTGACTACAGAAAGGAACGAGGGTCAGGGCTGAGTCCTGGGGAACCCCAGAGAGTGTGGAAAGGGTATAGCCTCCTTCCCAAAGGTCCTCTCTCTCTCTCTCTCTCTCTCTCTCTCTCTGTTTTTTTCAGAGGGTTTCTCTGTGTAGCCTTGGCTGTCCTAGACTCTTTTTCTAGACCAGGCTGGCCTTGAACTCACAGAGATCCGCCTGCCTCTGCCTCCTGAGTGCCGGGATTACAGGCATGCTCCACGGCACACATCTGGTCCTGCATCGCTTCCTCCTTTCATTCACTCATTCATTCATTTGCCCACTCCTGAGAGCCCTGGGCTCCTGGAGGCAGATACAGTGGGAAGAGCAGGTGCAGAGGCCCTGTGGCTGGCAGGGCTTGCTCTGCTTCTGAGTAGCACGGAGTACAGAGAGTGGGGCGCCAGACACAACTCTCCCACCTTAGTTCCCACAGCCCAGCGGGACACTGCCAAGGGCTCTGGTGGCAGATGGAGGCCTTGAAAGTGCCAGGCAAGACCATACAAGGGGCTATTCCATGGCTAAACCAGGGCATTCTGTGTTTCCCAGCAGCTGGGCCTAGTGCAGGCAAGTTTCAGCCACACACAGCTCACAGCAAGCCCGGTGGCTCCCGAGGACCCTAGCAAGGTTTGGGTGGCCTTAGAAATCAGTCGGCACCCAGAGGACATGATGACCTCGGGAGAGGGGCATACTTAAGAGCGAGGCTCTGCCTCAGACCCTGCTTTTTCTGGCCGCATGTCTCTGGGCAAGAAACTGCCTTCTCTGAGCCCCTCTCTGGGGCTAAGTGGCTGTGACTGTCCAGCAGGAGCAGTGCTAGGGGTGAGGCGAGAGAATGGCCACAGCTGCCTGCCTGCCTGCCTGCCGAGGGCAGAGGCAGTGAGCCATCTGACTGGATGAGAGGGAGGCACCAGGTTGAATTTTCTGGGCTGCTGCATCCTTTGTAAGGTCCGGGTTTCTGGAGCCGGATGAGAAAGCAGAAGTGGAACCTGAGCTGAAGGGGGAAAGGTCGGGTCTCCTGGGTGCTGGGCGGGGCTGGTGAGAAGCGAGCCATCAGACTCCGTGTGTGGGGAGGTGTCTCTAGAGTAACAGGAGGGGATAAAGGGAAGAGGAGCTCACTTTGGACAGCCATCCCAGGACTGGGGGACCCCGTATGGCTGCTGCTGGAACTGGGAGAGAACCCCAGAGCCTTTACGTCCACAGTGCCAAGTGAGACCCAAGTCCTCCAGGGCAAGGTCTACTTCCTCAGGCCTTCTCTTCCATATCTCTGTCTCTCTCATTCCCTCCAGCCACTCTGGCTTCTGCAGCTCTTCAATCACAGACGCACCAAGCTCTCCTGCCCCAGGCCCTTTGCACATGCTGCTGGTCCACTTCCTGGTATCCATGCAGATCTTTCCTCCTCCTTCCTGTCTCTGCTCCGAGCCCTCCCCCCCTTCTTAGAAAAACCTTCTTTGACACCCACATAAAAACCCGCATCGTGGTCTGGCCCCTGACTCGACACTGGAATGTCTGCAGCCTCACATGCTGTAAGCAGGTAGCAGCCACAGCGTGGATCTGCTGCCATATTGTCACCAGCTCTTGTAGCTGGTGAAAAAGTCAGCTCTTGTAGACACAGCTTTGTTCTGTGTGCCCAGAGACTAGCCTGTACCGGCATCAGGCACATACCAAGTTTCCCATAAACAGCCGCAGAGTAGATGGAGGACAGATGGGGGTTGGGGCAACAGTCTGCTGTGGCTCACAAAAGGAGCTGGGGTCCTCCCCCCACCCCACCCCCGGCTTTCAACTCCTCTTTCCAGAGGATGTGGCTGAGCTGTGACCCTTGTTCCAGCTGCACCGCCCTTACTGACCCAGGGACACCCCCCATCCCGCCCCACCCCACTGTCCCTGCTCCATGCCACCTTGCGGAGGTCCTGAGCCAGTGCCTCCTGCAGCTGCTGTTTGTTGTCACGCAGGAAGTGGCCCAGGCCCCGCAGCTGTGCAGCCCGGAACTCAGCCGGCCGAGTCTGCCCCGAGTTGAAGGCCTCCCGCAGCTGCCGCAGCTTGTCTTCAAATGAGTCCATCCTGCAGGGCAGTGCAGTGTGAATCAGGGCTGGGGCTGCAAGGGGACCAGAATTTATGACACTCTTTAGCCCCTGCCCACTCCCAGTGGCCCCCAGAGTCTTCCCAGGGTCTGTCTCCCTTGAATAACTCCATCGGTGACAAGAGTGGCCTTTGGGCAGACACAAGACGCATGTCTCCTTCTGCCAGGTGAATTTATAGGGGGCTACAGGCCAGGGACAGGCTGGGGACAGCTGTCCCCCAGCCTTCAAGGCTGAGCATTAGGGCCAGGGCTCTGCTTCTTCTTCTTCAGTGAAGATTAGCTCTAACCCAAGGCCCCTCCTGCTCTAGTGCTCTCCCAGGGGCTACCCTCCACTCTACCTGGCCTGGGTGGAGTGGACAGGAATGGGGTACAGTGAGGGATACCACCGCAGCCACCACAGCTCAGGGACGCCGCACAAGAGGAGCCAAGCTGGCTGGCAGCGGCTCAGAGACCTGGGGTGACCTTGGGAAGAGTAGTTTCTAGACCTTTGTGACACTCTTGCATCTCCTTAGCACAAAGGGAAGAATGGCCTGGGCTTCCCCGAGCTCCTCCTGCCCCCTCAGCCATGATGCCAGCTGGAACACAAGAGAAGGTGACAGCTGGGGACAAGAGCCAGGAGGGATGATGGAGAGCCACCAGCCAGGACTAGCAGACAGGGCAGGGGCCTGCTATTCCCCTGGGCTCATGCCTGTTTACAAGAGGCTCATCCGAGGTGCCCTGTGACGCATTCACTCCTTGGCCTGGTATCAAGGACCCCATTGGGAACCATTTCCTCATTCCCTCCCTGGCTTCAGCTCTCAGTGTAACTAAAGCCTCTTCCTGGAAGCCCACTCTGCCGCTCCTCTGTCTACTCACAATGGCCCCTCTGGTCTGCTTGGCCCTGTACAGAGCGCCAGCAAAGAATGGATGCCTAGTTACATCCCCTTATTGTCCCTTTTGGTGATACCAGGAGGCCAGCTCCTCTTTGCCTATCCAACTCTTCTTGGGGCTCAGTGCCCCAAACTTCCCAGTGTTGCTGGAGGCATGGGGACCTTTTGTTTTTGTTGTTTGTGTTATTAAATTTTTGTTTGCATGTGCGTCTGTGTAATGTGTGTGAGTATGTGTGTGTGTGTGTGTGTGTGTGTGTGTGTGAAAGAGAGAGAGAGAGAGAGAGAAAGAGAGAGAGAGAGAGAGTGTGTTCCCATGTCCGTGCACATGGAGGCTGGCGCTGGTGTCTTCCTCAATTAGTCTCCACCTTATTGAGTCAGTGTGTCTCAGCGGAACCCAGAGTTCACAGAGACCAGCGGGGCTAGAGAAATGACTCCATAGTTTAGAGCTCCTGCTGCTCTTCCAGAGGGCCCAAGTTCAATTCCTGACACCCACATCAGGCAGCTCACACTACCTGCAACTCTAGCTCCCAGGGATCTGACACCTCTGGCCTCTCTATCCACCTGCACTCATACACACACACACACACACACACACACACACACACACACACACACACAATAAAAGTAAAAAAATCTTAAAGGGAAACTAGTGTAGCAGCGCGCTCTGCTGTCTCCACCTTCTGGCTACAGAGTTCCAGGTAGCTGTCCCACCCACCGCACTTGTGTGTGTCCTAATGCTTGTGTGGCAAGGGCTTTAAGTGCTGAGTCATCGCCCCAGTCAAGGGTGTTTTGTTTTGTTTGAATGTGAGAAAAACTGCTCTAAAACTCTCTGTGCGATGGAGATGGCCTTGAACCCGGGTCCTCCTGCTTAGATCTCGTAAGTACTGGGTTTATGGGTACACGGCCTGGCTTAGCTGACAGGTTTTGTGAAGACCCTTGCTGTCTGCTGTTGGGCCCGGCGTGGACCCAGCTGTGCTACTGTCAGGCAGCTCCCTGGAGGCCTTTGGGACCGGTGTGTGGGGAGCAGTGATCTGAAACCAGAAGCAACCCCAGCGGCAGTGCCGAGGGGCCAGTGCTGACCTTCCAGGCCTCCTGTTCCAACAAGGCAAGCTGAGATGGCCGGGTACAGTACCACCCTCCGCCCCCAGAGTGGTACCAGTGTGTCTCTGGACTCTGTCTCTACCAGTTGTGAGACACTGGGCAGAGCCGCTCTGTCCTGCCTCAGTTTCCCTACCACAGGAGATGAAGCTCTGGTTTGCTGGAAGATCTAAGAACAGACTACTTTATAGACTGTCTGTCACTGTTCCCAGAGAGACAGGGAGGCCAGCAGCCATGAGTCACCAGCAGGACTGGGGAGGTGTTTGCAGTTCCAGCTCCCACTGTTTGAGCAAGAGGACCAGACTTCAGGTTTCCAGACCCAAGTAAATGCCACTGGGCACGTGAGCTCCTAGAATTCTAACCCCAGAAAGCAGAGACAGGACTCCCTGCAGCAGCCTGGCTAAGGAGGCTGCTCATATTGGCAAGCCTGGGTTTGCCTGAAAGACCCTTTCCAAAGAGAATAAAAGTGGGACGATATGGAGAAAGGTTTCCAACATCAACCTCAGGCCTCCACACACACACATGCAAACAATGTGCAACCCCACACAGTGAACCCACATACGTGTGCAAACACGCACAGCACACAAACCCACGAGGAAAGAAAACAAAACACAAAAAAGCCAGTGCCACCAACAGTCACTCCCTCCCCAGTGCCCTGCTCACTGGAGTCTCTTCAGAGCCCACAAAAATGTAAAGCATGCTACCAAACCCTGTGGGCAGGGAGCTGGGGGCGGGGGTCCGGGCCTAACATTCTAGAAGTGCTCCTAGCAACGCTGGGGCCATTTCACCATGGCAGCAGGACACACTTCTCCTGCAGGACTGCCCACCTGGCCCACGATGCCCTCTGGGGCTTGGTCGCTGTGGACTGAAACCTGAGGGGATGCCTTCCAGGGGCTAAGGAGCCAGGCTGGACCCGAGTGCAAAGAGGAGCCAAGGCTATCTGCTATCTGGGATCAGGAGGCTTAGGCTAAGACCTCACAGAGGAACTGGGAAGCCACCATGGACCCACGCTTGGGGATTTCTGTGCAACTCCACTGGGCTGCGCACACACCCACCCCCCTTCCCATAGTCATCCTATCCTGCGTCTGTCTGCCCTGGCTCCTTTAAACATTGCAACAGCAAGGGGCTGCTCTTCATCCCACTGAAGGAAACCAAGACCAGGGGACAGAGAGGACAGTAGCCAGCCTGAGGACACCCAGCTTCCTCACACTGGACAAACCTCCCTGCGGAGGCACAGAAGGCTGCCCGCTCCTGGAGCATGAGAAGAGGGCGGCCTGAGGGCGGGGAGAGGAACTTGTGAGCTGCAGATTCAGGAGCAGAGGGGCACTGAGGGAAGAGGGGAGCCTCGGAGCACGAGAAGCTAACCCACTGGGGGCTCTCTCCCTCAGTTCTGTTATCCCTACCAATCTGCACTGCGCCTTTCTGTCCAAGCCCTCGGCTCAGCTGCTGAGACCCAGGACTGGGCTCCCTCTGAGGATGGGGTGGGAGTTTCCCTGGGGTGCAAGTAGGACCGTGGGCCTGGGGATCCCTCTAAAAGCAGTCATCAGCCTGACATGGTGGGTCACGCCTGTAATCACGGCAGCAGAGAGGCAGAGGCGAGAAGATTGCTGTGAGTTCTAGCAAAGTCTGTATGAACCAAGGCTACATGAAACCCTAGTCAAAAAAAAATTATGGGCTGGCAAGATGGCATAGAGGGTAAAGGAGCCCTCTATGCAAGCCTCACAGCCTGAGCTTGCTCTCTAGAACCCACATAAAGGTGGAAGGAGAGACCAACTCACAAAGTTGACCTCTGACCTCCACCTGTCTGCCATGTCATGCACCACCCCGCATCATAAACAAATGTTCTTTGCTTGCTTGCTTGCTTGCTTGTTTTTTGGTCTTTTGAGACAGGTGTTTCTCTGTGTAGCCTTGGCTTTCTCAGAACTCACTCTGTAGACCAGGCTGGCCTCCAACACAGAGATCCGCCTGCCTCTGCCTCCCCGGTGCTGGGACTAAAGGCGTGCGCCACCGCCACCCAGCTATAAACAAATGCTTCATCAAAACTTACACAGAATAAAAAGAACCACTACACAGGGGCTGGATCTGGAGCTCGGTTGGGAGGGTGCTTGTCCAGTTTGCATGAAGGACTGAATTTGAATCTTTGGGAAGTGGAGGCAGAAAGGCAAAGAGCTCAGGGTCATCCTTCGCTACACAGTGAGCTTGAGACAGCCTGGGCTACATGAGACTGTCCCAACAAACAAACAGGTGCTGGCTATGGCAGCCTGGAGGCCAGCATGGGCACCAGCTGTGGATACCCAGGGCTGCAGGATGAGCCTGAAAACTGGAGAAAACGGGGAAGGAAGGAGTGAGCACACAGGCCTACCCGCCAATGCCCAGGGGATCGGCTGCCATGCAAGGGCCCTGCCCTGTGCCCTTGGAAGGGTCCAGCTGATGAACTTTCCCTCCATTTAGCCATGCTCTCTTCCTACCCCACTGGGTTCCTATGCCCAATCCCTCATCCTTCCTGCCTCAGTTTCTTTATCTCTACCACAGGCCTCCATGGTCAAGGGCTCAGTGACCTGGGTACAAGTCCCATTTGACCTGGGTACAAGGCTCATTTGCTGTCTAGGGGGCCTTGGGCAGGTCTCTTGGGCTCTTTGGCTCCTTTTTTTTTAATTGGTAAAATGGGTCAGTTCTCCGTGGCACCTATATGTGCTTGCTGCTGGAGAAACTCAAAGGCAGAGGTTTAGAAAGGCTTGGTCCAGACACAGCTCCCCACCCCCACCCCCTGGGAAGCACTTAGCTGCGATGCCTGCAGTGAGTGTTAGTGCCAGGGGGACTGGGAGAGAACTCCAGGATGAGGACTCGAGGCAACCTTAATCCAGTGTGGGGCCAGGCCACGGCAGGGCACCAACCTCAGATGCAGGAGGGCTGGGATCTGGGTGACAGCGAGCTCAGGCATGGTCTCAGGGCATGGAGACTTCCACCAGGCCTGCCAGAGGTGGGGGTAGGTCAGGCTTAAACACCCCCATGCCCTGAAAATGGAGGCGCTCCTGCTCTAATCTCCCGTGGGTGGCCTATGTGTGGCCTTGGCCCTGGGTTTCAGGAGGTTTCCAGAGCCGGGGGCAGCAGCTTCTTTCATCCGTGGGTCCCCGGGGAGCTGAGACAAGACACTCCTAGGCCTGGGGACTGAGCTGCCTGCCCCGCCCAGAGATAAGCTGTCCAGAATATGAAGTCCTTGGAAACCACAAGTTTCCAAGGCCGCCTCTGGCACATCGGCCTCTCTTTCACCGGGCTCTGACAAAGTCTATTGCTAAGGAGAATTCTCTCTTATGATCCTTGGACTGTCCCCAACTAGCCGGGCTAGCCTGATAGATAGTGCCTTGGAGAGGGCTAGTGCCTGAATGGATCTTCAGGGGTCAGAGGTCATGGTCTCTCTTGTGGCAACCTCCTCCCTCACCCCCCTCACAGGATGTCGAGTCTCCCAGGAGACGGCTGGGGAGCCCAGTGCAGACTCAGGCCAGCTGGGCCTGGCACTCCGAGCTTCTCCACTCCCCACCCCCTTCAGTCTCTTCCTTCCCTTTTCTCCTCAAGCTGCAGGCAGATGGGGCAGGGAAGACAGAGGCTGCCTGTGTGTGGAGCCGCCAGTTACCAGATGAGATAGGGAGCCCAGCACCCCAGAGTAGCTGGGACAAATCGGTAACAGCTCCACTCCCATCTCCCCGGGATACGGTACCTGAGGCCTCACCAAGTTTTGCCCTTCTTCCTGGCTGTCCGGCTCTGCCCGACACCCTGCCTTTATGCAAGGTCCAACAGCGCCTGCCCCTGGGGCGGGGCTGCCCTGGCCTAGTGCCTGACCTTGGCTTCAGGCCAGGTGGAAGCTGTTAGCTGCGATTTTACCACATCTATCTCGTAGAGGCCTAGAGATACTCTCTCAGACCACAGAACGGGAGGCAGGGCCCAGAGGAGGGTGGCACTGGCTCAGTTCAGAGTCACACAGCAGTTCTGAGCATTGATGGGTAATGGGCGGGGGTGTGGGGGAAGGCTGAGGTGGGAGTGTTTGCAGCTCTAGGAGGTGGGACCTAGAGGCCTGCAAGATCAAGAAAGGCTGTGCACCGCCCCCCCAGCCTTGCCTTCTCTGAGCCTCAGTTTCCCCTTCTGTTAAAAGAGGTCGGGACCAGGGTCCAGAAACGAGGTCTCAGGACTAGGCCCTCTGCCAGCTGTGTCCCAGGCCTGCCTATGACCCTCAATCTAGCTGCAGAACCTCCAACTGCAGCCCGCTCACAGACTTGTCACCCCCAAACCTCACATATTACAATGAGAAAACACGGCCCTGAGAGAGAATAGGACTTGGCCTCACAGCATGTGCATGGGGCAGGACTACAACTACAGCCCTCTCCCCAAAGACATCCCCTCTGCCTGCCACCCCCAGGACAGCCATCATGACACCCCGTGCTGCTGAGGTGGCCCCTGGGGTCCCGCTCCTCTGCAGGTGCAGAGCCGTGCCTGGCTCCGCTCCAGGGACACCTGTGGGAGCCACCACAGAGGGGGATGATCCTTGAGCAGCTGCCGGGTGGGCGGACAGGCCGGCGATTGGATTACACGTGTGTGTGCATGAGAGAGACATCCTTCTCATGGCTTCCCTGGACCGCACTGTATCTTTCCCCTCGGGTGCCCTGGGCCAGCCTGGGGCCTCTGCGCCGACCTTGCACCTGGGAGACGCTCCTCACCGCCTCACCCAGCTCCCCAGCCTACCTGGGAGGGGGCAAGAGAGGCCTTCAGGCCCACGCCCCGCTGACAGACCTGCAGGGTGCCGATGGCTGGGGTAGGTGCTGGGTTGAGGGGCCACTGAGGGCCTTGTCTTCTGCGTGGGATGGAGCCCCCAGCCGCCGCTCGTCACGTGGATCGGCATGTGACAGCTCGGCTGTGCTGGTGTCTGGAACGGAGCCAGACAGACGCACAGGCAGAGCGGCTGTCAGGTAGGGCTGAGCTGGGGCTGGGCTTGTAGCGCTCAGCCAGAAACTAGGCCCAGAGAAGGTCAGCCACTAGTCTGAGGCCACACAGCAAATAAGGGGATCATCTGGGAGCGCTCCTAGCCAGCAGGAGGCGTGTTAGAGGATTCCGAGAGCCTCGTTTCTAGTCAGTGGACTGCCAGGGATGTCCCCAAGCGTTCAGGGGTTATATTTGTCTCAACTCAGGACCAGCCTCAGATGAGGCCCACATTTCTAGGGAAAGGTATTCCACATCCAGAGGCCTGGGACTTAGCTGAATCATTGCCAGCATGGGACAGCCCAGAGTCACAGGAGAGAAAAGCCTCAACTGAAGAAACGCCCGATCACTCACTCACCTGCAGCCATGTCTGTGGAGGACTGCCTTGACTGTTAATTGGTATGGGAGGGCCAGCCCGTTGTGGGAGGCACCATTCCCTGGGCTGGTGGTCCTAGGCGACTTAAAGCCAGCCGAGCACGAGCCTGTGGATCAGTCAGCCAGGAAGCAGCATCCCCGTCACTCCTGCTGTGCTCCTCTGTACTCTGAGTCCCCTGGTCAAGGGAGATGCCACGTGTAACCCTGCCCTCAGGTTCCTGTCCTGATCCTGCCTTGACTTCCCTCAGTGATGGGCTGGACCTGGAATTACAAGCGGAATAGATCCTTTCCTCCTCTGGACTGTTTGATCACAGCAGAAGAGAAACAAGAACACTCCCCCAGGATGGGGGTCTGGGACACTGTGCCCCATGGTCCTTTCGCCTCCTAGTTCCTTGAGGCTCCTGGGAATGGGGCCTGGAATTCATGGCCTTGCCAACGGGAGCCCAGAGGAGGTGGTGCCATGGCCAGAGCGGGGCCTTCCAAAACTGGAGACCAGCTCAAAAGCCCTCACTGTTTTAACGGAGGTTTCCTGGGGGACAGGGACAGACGGCTTGGGCCTGAGTGCTCTTGCCCCTTACCTGCAAACAGGACCTGACCAAGCCACGTAACCCTCATGCAGTCTCTATCCTCACCAGGAAACGGGGTTGATCCTATGTGTGTTGCAGGACTCGGTGATGGTAGAGCAGGAACCATCTGGAAAGAGCCTGGTAAGACGCTGGGAATACGGCAGCTCAGGGTGGGTGGCTGGCCTCTTTCCTGCCCTCCCAAGGAAGTGGTGCCTTGCCTGAGCTCCGTCCTCAACACCACATAGAAGAGAGAAGTGCAAGGCTGTGCTCTTGGCAAGATCCTGTGGTTCGGAGTTCCACTCAGTCCCTTGGGGTGTCCGGGCGTGGGCATGGGTTCGGGTGCACACTGAGCCGAGAAGAATGAAGCAGAATCTGACCATGTCGGGCCTGCAGGGTCCAGGTCCAGCTGGGAGTGTGGAGTGGGGTGGGGGAGGCCTTCTCTCCGAGGCATGTTACAGCGCTTTTGAGCAATTCTAGTTCTTTGCCAAAGGGGACAGGAAGTGGAGCAGTCAGGCGGCCAGTGCCGCCAGAGGCACGGTGGTGCCAGGAGCTCAGGTCCCACCGGCAAGGCCACAGGGTGGTCAGGTCCCAGGATCCAGTGGAGAGAGAGAAGGTCCTCTCTGAAAGCCCTTCAAGGGTTGCTCAGTGAAACCACAACTTTCAGATCATCTTTGGTGAATCAGCTTATGTCCCTGTGTGTGTTCCATCGTAAAAAGCACTATATGAACCTTGGGGTGTGGGGCGTGGGTTGGGAGTAAATGCAACCCATTGGTTGTGGCTAGCATGCTGGTGATGCTCTGTTTGCATCCAGGTGCTGGCTATGTGACCATCTGGAGAGCTGGGAGTCGAGGGGTCACGTGGGCCAGGGTTCTCCTATCGGTTCTCCTGCCCATCTCACGCTTGACATTTCCCGGGTGTGAGCATGCTCCACCTGGACAGTTCCATGCCAGTTCTCTCTGGTGGCACAGTCCACGTGCCATGCAGACCGCTGGGCATCAGTAAGCAGAGGCTGCCAGTCGCCTGCCTGGTCTGTCAGGCTGCTTTGCTCTTGAGTTCTCAGTGGAAAAACTGGCCTTCACCTGGAGTCAGTGATTCGCAGGATGTTTTGCCAAGTTCACCTCCTTCTGTTTGTGTGAGGATCACACAGACAGGTTGTCGAGGTAAACAAGTTTGACTTCTCCATGAACCCCTTCCTTGTACTGAGGTGCTCTGCTCTGACTATGAAATGGGACTATGGAATAAACCGGTGCGACAGTTCCTGCTGGCAGCCCTCTCAAACAGAGCCCATGTGTCCTGTGTTGGTTTTTAAATTTTCCTTCAGTCCTCACTCCCCACTTAGGAACTGTCAACTCTGCCGGCGGGCTCCGGAAGCTGACCAAGAGGGGGGCACAGGCTTTGGGGACATGAGGCTGGCTTGTGCCCTGGCACACAGGGACCTCTGCCAGTAGGACTAAGGGGGTGCATTCCTGGGAGGGAAAGGGCTTCTTTCCGGCGCTTCCTCACACCCTCTTTAGAACATCTACATAGCACAAGCTACACATATCACACACATAAACTACACACCCATGCACAAACACACACACACTATACATACATCACACATACACACCACACAGCAAGCACAAACACACAGTCACCACACACACATATACGCATCTCTCACACACACATATAACACACACTACACCACACTGCCTTTTCCACTCCGTGTCCCAGGCTCACCACGGCCACCGTGTGGACTTTGTTATCACGTGAGACACTGGTGTCCACTCTGACTGCAGCCCCACGGCTTCTGGGCTTCCTGGTGCCCACTGTGCTGTGTCCTCCACACCCTACACCTCTGGCACTACCCTTTCTTGATGTTCTTCTTCTTCTAAAGACAGTGTCTTGTGTGGCAGTCAGTTCTGATTCTAAACTCGAGATGCAGCAGGATGACCTTGAACCCCTGGTTCTCTTCCCTCCACTTCTTGCAGGTGTGCACAGACATGGCCAGTTACCTAGAGCTGGGGGCCGAGCCAGAACTCTGCTCATGATAGGAAGCACCTGGCCCATTGGAGCCCTGACTCTTGCTCCCTGTAGAGAGCCCCTGGGCAACACGCTGTCTGCTTCACCCTCACAGCACCCTCTGTCGCCTGGAGAAAGTCCTGTCCCCAGCCCTCGGCCCCTAGATTCCCTCGGCCTGTGTGGGGAGGAGTTTGTGAGCCATTCCTCCTTCCGCTCACCTGCTTATTTTCACCTTTGTGTAGTGACTGATACTCTCCACAAGGGGAGCTTGGCAAGCAGTCAGCTTTTTTTTTTTTTTTTTTTTTTTAAGATTTATTTATTATGCATACAATTTCTGTCTGCAAGAGGGCACCAGCTCTCACTATAGATGGCTGTGAGCCACCATGTGGTTGCTGCGAATTGAACTCAGGACCTCTGGAAGAGCAGCCAGCGCTGTTAACCTCTGAGCCATCTCTCCAGCCCAGCAGTCAGCTTTGAAGACAGTAAAATCACAGAAACCAGATGGGACACGGGGGTTTACACCCCCTGACCAGGATGGCTTCTTACTCTGAGAGTTGAGGGTTACAAGCAAACCTCTCCGTCCTGGGGGAGTCACCACAGTGTATCTTAAGTCACAATAAACTGAGGGATGGGGAGGTGGAAATTGCTTCTTTTTCTTTCCTTCCTTCCTTCTTTCCTTTTTCTTTTCTTCTTTCTTTCTTTCTTTCTTTCTTTCTTTCTTTCTTTCTTTCTTTC